TGAAATGGAGGGGTCATGTGTATTGTATGCCAGATTCGGAGGTTGCTAAGAAAGGCGCGACAGACAGGTAAATTGGAGGGAAGTAATGTAATGCACATAGCCGGCTGTGTGCATTGGATAATGGCGAGAATGACCTTAAGACTTTGAAAGGGACCAGAACAGACTGGGCAGAGTGGAGGAGGAACCAGGATCCACAATGGATTGTCGAGTCGATGATGATAATGCAGGTCTCAGGGTTAACATAATTAAAAGAGCACTTGGTTGAATGCTTAAAAATGACAAATTTTATTAAAAGTTAAGTTTAATTATTGGGAAATTAACCAAAACGGGGAAGGAATCAAAAAACCTCCTTTAATTGGACCAAACTTTCAATAAATATATTCTTATCTTCGTCAGGGTACGCTACAAAGAGATGAAGGAGACATTACACGTGATTCTAACATTTCAAGACTTAATTTAGAGGTTAAAATGTAAAAACTGTTACATTAGTACATTGATGTTGAATAAGAAGTCCCCAAAAAGACATCTATAAAGAGGGAAGATAATATCCAGACCAAAAACACTAATTAAGGCGCGAAACCGATCGAACAAGGGACGGCAACTGTCTCTGGTGGAAAAACTTAAGAAAACGGAAGTCACCAGGTTGACGTTAGACAGAGAGAGAAGATGACGTTGTTATTGGAAAACATCTAAGACCCAAGGAAGAAGGGAAAGGAACAAGTCAAGGGCCAGAAACTTACAAAACGGACCCTGTAAGTAGCACTAAGTCCTAATAATAAACTTAACTAAAAATTTATTAAAATAAAGGCCGAAATTAACAAACGGCAGAAGGCCGACACAAACGTTAAATGTTGGTTCTCTGAAACACAACCAGGGAAAAGGGAGAGTACTAAACAAAATTAAAAGGGCAAGACAAATGCCCGAAACATGCCCGGTGTAAAATTTTTGAACAAAAAGGGCTGTGAGGCTGGGTAAACCAGTTACATATAAATTTTCAATTTCTACTAAAATCCTATGATGCCCGAAGGCTTTCAACACACCCAAAATGGTGAAACACTAAAAGGGGGGGAGGTCATATCAAAACCGTAAAGAACCCAAGGAGGAAGCAGACCTAAAGGAATCTACGGAAGGCTTGTTGGACAGTTTAATCAATGGCAGTAAATGTCGCTAAGACTCTGGGAGTCAGTTCTAAAGTTGACGGTGTTAGAGAAGGCGGAAATGTGAAACATTTCAAGGAAGAGTCTCCTGTTGTGTAAGTTTTCTCTGCAGACAATCTTGGTCTGATCCAAGTCAAACTTATGGCCCGTAAAGACATGATGTTCAGCAAGTGCAGTACCATCAGATTTCAGAGCAGCACAGTCTCTACTGTGTTGTGGCACCCTTGATTTAAGGTATTGGAGCGTAGTGCCAACATAGCACATCTCACTAAATTGTCAATGAGACCCTGAATGAAGAGGACCTTAGCAAAAGTCGGAGGTGTTATGGGCAAATCGTCATCAGGAGGGTGCGTCATCGACCAATCAAGCTGTTGTGTGACGTTCTGACTGGGAATGTTATGGGTTGGCCTATCCAGAGAATGGAGGATTCTATTAACTAACGAGCGAGGAAAACCGTTATTACAGAATATATCCGATAGGAGTTTAAAGTTACGATCTCTAAACTCTTGGCCTGAAATGCGTAGAACCCTATTCTTCATAACTTTAAGAGTGTTAATTTTTATTTGAATAGGATGGCATGAGAAGAAATTAATGAAGTGACCAGAGTAAGTGGGCTTTCTATACCAATCTAAGACAACGCGTTGATTACTCTTTCTAATGACACGTGAGTCCAAAAAGGGACCACTATTATCAGATTCGGTCTCAATGGTGAACTGGATGTGGGGCTTGATAGAGTTGAACTCCCTTTGCACAACCAATAATAATCTGTCGTACGGAACAGAGCAGATAATGTCATCGACATATTTATAAATGAAAGGTAGTTAGAATGGAAACTTGGGAATGCAACCATCCAAAATCTAGTCCATGACAATGGTGGCTAAGATAGGACTGAGAGGCCTACCCATGGGTGTGCCAAACTTTTGTTTGTAGAACTAATCATGAAAGGAGAAAACCGAAGAATCGAATAAAAACTCGCTGATGTTGAGGAATAAATCATGTGGCATCTCCGTGTGAGGTTGTATTAAGTTCCACTCCGCCGATAACCTATCAATCACCAGTTGTAAGGGGATATTGGTGAAAAGGGAGACGACATCCAAAGACACAAAATTAGGAGGCAAGGTCAGATTTCCCATCTCGTCAGCAAAAGCAAAGGAGTCACTAATATTGTACAAGATAGTAGCCAGGTAGCTAGACAACCGATAAATAGGAGACCCGACAAAGGAAATTCTTTGTGTATCTTAGGGAGGACATAAAATTTCGGAGCTATACCATTATAACACACCAAAGACCTATATATTTGCTTGGAGATGTATTCTCTATCAAGCAGTTCCTTGCAAAGCTTGTTCTGCTTCCTCTGGATGGAGAAGGTGAGGTCAGACTTAAGTACCTAAAGTACCTACTTTAAGTATACGTGGAAGAGTCAGATACTAATGTGAGGGATTTATTAACATATTGGGATTGGTTCAAAACTATAGTAACTTGTCCCTTATCGGCAGGAACCACTACAAGCGAGTCATTCCTTCCCCGTTTTGGTTGATTAACTCTTAATGTTGTACAACCAGTACTTCCACCTCTCTTTTATTGAAAGTATACACTCCTAATGCATAGAAATGTGGTAGGTCTATTTTGGAAGCGCAACAAAGAGAATTGTTGAGAGGACGTTATGGAGTACAATCTCACTTTTTTGAAAAATTTTCTCCAAAAAGTTTAAGCAATTTACGATTCCTTGTCAAAATGGTGTTCTTATCCAATATTTAATCACCTTGATGATTTGAATATAAAATTACAAGGAGCAAACTTCGATTACTTCCAGGTTGAAGATAAAATTGATGCAATTATTTTGAAAGTAGAATTATGGGAGAATGGACTCAGAAAGCGGAAATGTGAATTCATTTCAAAACTTATAAGCGTTTTGAATTATATTTTAGAATACAATACATTCATGTACTTGGAGGTCAACGAAGATTTTATTGATTTTGCTACCAAACAAAAACCTGTCCAACTTCTGGGCTACGTTTAATGAATTGCACTTAGGAAACAAAACTTTGTAGATTTAATTCCATTTCTAACTACATATCTGTGTGAGCAATATTTTTCATCACTGCTTCAAGTAAAAAATAAGTCACGAAACAGGTCACAAATTAGATAAATCAAATTTTGAAAAAACTTGTATTAGAAATTCGTGTTCACTAATCACAGAAAACTCGTTTTTTATCTTATATTAAAATATTAGAACAAAATGTATTTTTGTTTATGTATAAATACCACGTTTGTTGTTTAAACGATGTTATCCACTGATAAACCTAATTAGGAATAGCTGGTATAAATAATTATAGTACTTTATGTAAGTACAAAAATACTTAAAATATTTTGAAGTAAAACATATACATTTAACAACGTTTTCAAAATCATAAAAGTTATGAATACCTCACCAAATATATCATTGAATAATAATGAACAAGTTAACAAATATTTCGAATAATACTTAAAAATATTTTGGTGCAAAATGTGTACATTTAACAACGTTTTCAAAAAGTTATAAATTCCTCTCTCAATACATTCGCTCCATTTTAATTACATTTCTAACTCAAATGAAAATCCTATCCATTCAACCATGTTTTGATCGATCACAGACAAGATACCAAAACCAGGAGATATTTGCCTCATACCATACATATTCCTACATGCAGTGTTATGATACATAAAATGTTTAATCTATCTCAATAACGTTGGAGGGCAGCTCTTTAGAACTGCCTCAAATATCTTTAGGAACGTTAAAGTCTCATAAAGCCTTCAAAATTTTTAATAACGATATAGTTTTTGAAATAACTCCAAAATTTGAATAACAAATTCGATTAAAAAATCTAAATACTGTGGAGGCATATTTTGGAATTAATTAACAAATTAGATTTATTCAAATCAACTTTTTGTTGCATGCTAAAAGAAGAGAATTTGCATCCCTATCGTATTCAACGCATGCAAAAATATCTATATAGAGATACAAGAATACGTTTTTGATCGATTGACCTCTTTATCAAGCTATTTCGATGATAATAAGTATTCCTCGATATAAATTTAAGGAACTGGTATCGATTTATAATTAAAAAAATTTAACACTTAAAACTTTTAAGTACATGATCTCGTTGAATTTCTGCATCACAAACAGAAGATTCTTTTGTGAAAGAAGAGCCACCCTTTTGACATTTAAATCGATTTTTCACTACGTCGTCGCAGCTTTAATTAAAAAGCTCTAAAGTAAGTCGGTTTCAGAGCGAGTTCCCATCGATGGAAAACGAATGCAAGTATCATTATTCTCACCGAAATGGCTTTCCATTGTTACCCTAAAACCCATATGATTGAAAAGAACGTCTTTATTCGCTGGGTTTTCCAATAATTCACCTTTTTTACATCATAAATGTTTGCTAGAACAACAATTAATAATTTCGTGGTGTTATCAACTCACGATTTATCCGTGGGTGTTTATCGATCTTCTAATCTTTATAATTAAATGTGTTGAACGTTTCTGACCTACATTGTCGAAAAGAGTTCAAAACTCGATCGCGCGTGCAAGGAGGCTTTTTGTATTCGGGTGTCGTCTCACTAGGCTACGGTTTAAATTCGCGTACGGTTTAAACATATCTCTTGATAATACCGATCTGTGGAAATGTTAACGAGATAACCCAAGGTACACCCAACACAATAAAATTTAGAATTCATTTAAAAGTTGGTTTTACGCGAATTGATAAAATATACAATTTTTTTTGTGTTTGATAAAAAATTGATAGCGATTACAAAGCTTATTATTTACCAAAAAAATTAATAATTTATTTTTGTACATTTCAGATATGCGTTGGACGAGACATCGACTGAAACCCGAATTAATACATTGATAAATATATCATGGCTTAATATAAAATAATTTTCAAAAAATTACTCTCCAAAGAAAATTGTCTTGAGTGAAAATGGTAGCTAGATTCTATATGAGAATTACTCCAAAGTCGCTAGTTCTTGCGGCAGTAACATTATCGTTGTTACTTTGCGTTTATTACGCTCATAATACGTATAATGTTGACGATGGTGTGGTGTCTAGAAGCGAAGCTCTCAAAGAGGACGTCGAAGAGATAAGCAATAATGAGACCAGAGATGCCGAAGAGCAACGTAACATCAACAACAACGTGGTGGCCGAGGAAGGAAACGAGATAAAAGAGCGACCGGACAACAAAATCGAAACGACGACCACGAAGAAACCGCGAAAGAATGTCGTCGAAGAGTCATCGTGTCCGAATTTGTACTCTTCAGAAGCCGACGTAAACACCGTGGATGTCTTCAAGGATTTTGAATTTCAACCGACGTGGATGCGCAGTAAAGAATACTGGGATAAATCGTTCGAAGATCGATACGAAAAGCAAAAGATGGATACCGAAAGACCACCTTTAAAGGTAACAAACAAAACAATCTAAAATCGGCCTATTTAGATCGTGTTAGTTAAGCGTGGGCTTGTCTAAAAATAGATTGTAATTAACACCGAATTACACGGTCTTAATTGATGTTTGCGTCAGGTATTTTGTTAGATTAAAAGGAAATTGGTTTATTTTTAGAAATATTTTCTTATTTTACGAAAAACGTAAACGTTAAACCGCAACTTGTATCGATACGGTTAATCGTAATCTCAAAAACGACTTCATTTATCGCGTGTCGCGTAAATCACGGCTTCAATAACGTAAATCGGCTAGCCGCCTTGGGGGCGGCCGTGTAGGCCCCATAAATCTGACCGAGATTTCCTTTACCTTTCCCAGGTAATCATCGTTCCGCACTCGCACAACGACCCAGGATGGTTGAAGACTTTTGAAAATTATTTCCATTCGCAATCGAAACAAATCTTGAACCATATGGTCGCCAAAATGCAACAGTATCAAAACTTAACGTTCATCTGGTCAGAAATTTCCTTTTTAAATGCTTGGTGGGAAACTGCTCATCCGATTAAACAGAGTGCTTTAAAATCTTTAGCACATTCTGGACGATTGGAAATTACCACTGGAGGATGGGTTATGACCGATGAAGCTAATTCGCATGTTTATGCTATGGTTGATCAGTTAATAGAAGGTAATTACATATTTTTTCTAAAATCAGTTTTTGGTATTATAGAGTAGATATTATAGAGTAGTTGTTTTTGCTTTATACCTTTGTTGTCTTTGGATATAGCAGAATATTGCATATACCACTAAAAAACCGAATCGTTTTTTTATCAATGCGGTTTTTATCCTATCGATGTGTTATCAAATTTAAAGTCCATGTGCAGTCGTTATTGGACTATCTAAATTCGGGTTTTGCCGATTAATATGATCATTAAAGTTATGTCAGAAGATACGCCTAACTCGGATAACAACCTTTTTTTTTTTTAAGAAGGGAGACAGATTTAGTATTGAAAATTACCGACCTATTAGCATTTTGAACAATTGCTCGAAAGTCTTCGAAATGCTGCTATACTCCAGAATGAGTTACTGTGTTCGCCCATACATAGCTGATCATCAGCACGGATTTATGACTGGTCGTTCAACTATGTCTAATTTAGCAGAGGTAACGCAGTTCATCAGCAAGCTCATGGATAAAAGGGAACAAGTTGATATAATTTACAAAGATTTTACAAAGGCATTTGATAGATTACATCATGGAATACTTCTTTCTAAACTCTGCAATCTTAGATTTACCAATGATTTCGTGGATTTAATTCATCTTACCTCTCCAATAAACTTTGCTATGTGAGCTACAACAGTTTTAAATCTAATACGTTCACTGCTGGCTCTGGTGTTCCACAGGGTTCCAACCTGGGTCCCCTTCTATTCAATGTTTATCTGAATGATCTATTACGACGACTTGATTGTAATGTGCTTGCTTACGCCGATGACCTAAAGATATTCGCTCGTGTAACATCCCCTGAAGACTGTGTTATCTTACAGCGCAATCTGAACATTATCCAATACAGAATGGAATTGACCTTAACATAGCAAAATGCGTTGTCGTATCTTACACAAGGTGTAATATTAAGGTTTAATTATAGTGTGGGAGTTGAAGCAATACGCAGAGAACGCGCTATTCGAGATTTGGGTGTCTTATTCGATGACCAGTTGCAATTCAAAGACCATGTTAACGCTATAGTAAAGTCAGCCTCTGGTGCATTGAGTTTCATCATCAGGCAATGTAAAAAATTTAACAACGTAGCTGCATTAACAGTACTTTTCTATGCGTTTGTTCGTACAAAATTGGAATATGGTTCTCTGGTTTGGTATCCTTATTATACTTCTGACCAGCTCATGCTCGAGAGAGTGCAGAAGAGGTTCTTAAAATACTTACATTTTAAAACAGTTGGTCAGTATTTAATTTAAGAATTTAATTTTTCATCTTTGAGCAATCGTAGAGAAGATGCTAGTAGAAAATTTTATGAGATATATTATTATTTATTATTATATTATTAATAAGTGTAGAGTCGGAATTAAGTTATCAAAATTAAGACCACTATTGGTAAAGTTTACTTCCCGCTAAGACATAATATTAAAATAAGAAAAATACCTAACTCTCCTGACACACGATTTTATAAGAAGATTTATGGCTGGCAGAGACTACAACACCAAACACGTAGCTTAAGACTCCAGAGTAACCACAGCCAATAGGTAAAGAGTTAAGGAAACAATTTTAAGAGAAGAGCTGCAACAAGAGAAAAGGAAGTATCTTCCAACTCCATAGAAGCGGATCACTCAGTCTTCATGTTAACGTTAAGTGGAAGAATAAAAAGGGCAGCCAGAGCTACTCTTACTAACAAAACTACTGGGAAAGGTGATTCATCTCCAAAATAAAATCAACCTAAACATTAATCAGTCTTTTCGTCTGACATTTCACTTGCCCTACTTAATCAGTGGCGTACAACTACACTAAAGGGATAACACCAAAAGTGTGACTTGAAATCAGATAACTTGTTAAAGAAATACAATAAGCTAGAAGAAAATAGCAGCAGTCGGGGGATTTCTTAAACAAAACTATTTTTAACAAGATCCAGAAACACAGAAGAAAAATTACTTATTAATCAGTGGCGTACAACAACACTAAAGGGATAACACCAAAAGTGTGACTTGAAATCAGATAACTTGTTAAAGAAATACAAAAAGCTAGAAGAAAATGGCAGCAGTCGAGGGATTTCTTAAACAAAACTATTTTTAACAAGATCCAGAAACACAGAAGAAAAATTCAAAAGCTTAAAGAAGAATTCATCAAGTCATATTTAGAAGAATGAATTGTCAGCATATGACGAGACAGATTGTTCACTATGCAAGGCAAGCGAGAAGATCAAAAGCATAAAGTAAACGCTGTTTGCTGAACATCTGTCTGAGATTTTGACTCTCAACTCAGGGCAAAACAATCAAGAAACGATCAACATGGAAAGCCTAAGAACGAAAAATATCACACCAGTTACTCCTAAATAAGTAGCAGATGAGATAGGAACTAACCTGAATTCACCTTCCTAGAAAAGGTATAGTTATGCTACCTGCTTCTTCAACGCAGTCGTTATATTAGACCATATATTGGCATGCTGGAAAATTACAGATGTTAAACAACTACTCAAAGGACTGAGGCCAATAATAAAAAACTAATAACCGAATTCCGTATTATCAATTTAGGTATAAAAGTCCGCAACAATATACCAACAGCATAGAATAACAGATACCATTGAACAGGCATTGGAAGAAAAAAAAGTCTGCTTGGCAGTCTTTCTAGATGTCACACAAGTTATTGGCAAAGGTTGATACGAAGGCTTGATACACAAACTAAAATTCTCTTAAAACAATACGTAGAGATATTAACATCGTACATCTATGAAAGCTTCTTTAGAGTTAAGCAAGAAAATGAATACTACAACTTTAAAGAGAAAAAAGCGGAAGTGTCTCAAGGCAATACACTGGCTCTCCTACCCTGTATCCGCTATATTATACTGGTGACACGCCAGACTTGGAGCGTAGCCCCCGTACGCTTGTAGATGACAAAGCACTACTTGCAGTGAAGAAAGGTCACGAGTTATCTAACTCAGCAATGCAATAGTTGATTGAACCAAAAAAATAAATTGAAAAATCATCCACCACTTATAGATATAAATAGATATAAAAGGCGTGACTCTAGACATCAAATGTTGGTGGAAACCATGTAAAGAAGAAAATATCGGAATTAGCACTAAAATACAGACAGCTCTATTGCCTGATTGGGAGTAACTTCAAATTATCAATATTTACAATCAGATCCTGATACCAATGGTAGTACTTGTAAAAATTTGTTGCTGTATTCGCACGGGGTATATTCCTATGTTATACTAGTTAAGGTATCGGGGCTTCCCACGAACGAGTGAGGAAAAAAATTTGAAAATTTAGGAATCACTAAATAGTCATAAAAACTACATCCTTAGATAGTTTAGAACTTCCACGCAAAGTGGAGTTGTTTTTGGAGATGATCAACTACAATTTAAGTTGTAACCCCTGTCGAGTTTTACCTTATTTTAAAGGTAATGAAAAAAGAAACACAACCCCATAAACCAAAACCCGGTATCTTAATTCTTTGAAGAATTATGTGGTGTTGACTGCCAACTGGGAAAATAAAATGTTTTCATGTTATTTTTTGCACGTTTATTACGTTTTTTATAACAAATGTTCAAATTGTTAATCTTCTTCGGTCTCGCAATGACCCAAACGCTCATAAATGGAATTTTGAACAATCAGGAGTATATTCCTAGCGATATTAGTGGTTTCTTCAAGTTCTTTATTAAAAACGTCTCAGGTACATGAAATTGGTAAAAGTTCTGTCCATAAAATTTTGAAAAGAAATAACTATTTCCCCTATAAGTTTCACCTAGTACAGGAATTGAACGAAGGTGACTTCGAAAGAAGGTTGGAATTGTGTGAAATAGTACGTGAAAAATGTGATGTTGACAGAAATATTCTTTTGAATGTTGTTTTCTCTGATGAGGCTACTTTCTACTTGAATGGTAAGGTTAATAGGCACAATTGTCGTTATTGGAGTGACGAAAATTTACGTTTAATAAGAGAAGATCATACTCAGAGACCGCAGAAAATTAATGTATTGGCTAGTATTATATGGGAGGGAATGTAATTAGCCCATTTTATATTCATGGAAATTTGGACGGAGACAGATATCTGCAACTGTTAAAAAATCAAGTGATTCCAAGTGTACAGGACATACGGCACTGCCCTAATGGTATTGACAACAAGTGGTTCCAACAAGATGGTGGAAGAGATGTTAGATCCGAGGCTTTTTAAGCCGCACGTTTCCAAACCGTTAGATTGGTAGAAGAGGTGAAATTGAGTGGCTACCACGATCTCCTGATCTAACACCACTCGATTTTTTCTTTTAATAATAACAATAATAATAAATAAATTTATTGCCATAATAAGAAACAAAAAATACAAATTAAAGAAAATGTGTACACTTAACTTAATGCATAAATACGGGCAAAAGGATCGATTTATCGCGTAAGCGATATCTTCCAAACAACCCAATCAATCAGCAGTATACTAAGTTATATAAGAAAAACTATGAATAAACGGCAAGTTGCTATGCTAAACTTATGGTCACTAAAAACGGTGCATAATGATAGTTGCTGGAATAAAAGAAGAAGAGAAGAGAAGAAAAGTAGAAGAGAAGAAAAGGGAGAAAAAAAAGTTCTCAGGAAGATACTTGGAGAGCCAATAAATGACGTTTTAGGTGGTTTTTAAATGTTACAAGGTGAGGAATATTACGGATCTCAGTAGGCAGACTATTCCAAAGGGTTATTGCCTGCACAGCAAACGATTTATGGTAAATCTCGGTACTATGGGTCGGGAACATAAGCACAGAATCTAACTGAGATCTAGTGGGTAAACCATGCGACGACAAGCGTTGAAATATACAATACAGATACCTCGGGGTTTGATTGTGAAGAACAGTATATAACATAGTTAATATACGAAACGATCTACGGTTCTGACAGCTTAATATCTGCAAATAATTACGGTATGGGGTTATGTGTTGAGATCTCTCGAGATCAAAGATATACCGTATGCAGTTGTTTTGAAGTCTTTGCAGTTTGTTTCGTAGTGTTACCGAAAGATCAGGATATGCCGTGTCAGCA